GAAATCATAAGCCGAATTTCTTTGGAGGGTGGAATGTTGAATATGTTGATCGATGTTATTTTATTATTTATTTTGGCAATTGATTTATTTTATATTATATCAATTTATATTTACATTTAATCGGTGAAAATTTTATATTTACATTTTTATTTATACATTAATTTGTATTAGTTATTTTTTTTATTATTGTTTAAAAAAAATATAAAGAGATAAAAAAAAAATGTAATGGAGGTTGAAAAATAAAAATGTAATATATCAAATAATAAAATTTAAATTATGATTTAAAAATAAAATGATAATAATAAATGTGGATATTAATACAATTCTAACATATCCTTACCAAATGTAAAATGGGCCCTAAAAATATATTATCAGCTTCATAATATTCAAGTTCTAATTTAAAGAGATACTTGATTGGAATACTTATTCTTTTATATAATATAACTATAAGTATACTGTTAATAATTCAATTTAGATTGTTGTATCTTAAGCTTTTTAAATTAATATGATTATTATAATAGATATAAAGTAAAAATAAACAAATAATATATAATACTAGTTGATAGCCCATCAAGAATAACGGGGAATCAGAATTATTCTTCTTTATTCGATGATGGATGAATTCCTATATTATGAAATGTGATCCAAAAATTTACATTTATTTGGATGAAGGGTTTTCTAAAATTTTCTATTATTTTATAAAATAAATGAAGCACATATTTGGTAATTTTAATTCATATGCATAATAAAAAATCTTTTAAACTAAATTTTTATTCATTTGTATCTATAATTTTCTTAAAGCCATTACTCATTTTCAATGAGTTTTGTTGGGCAATGTTATCGAAAATAAGTTATGCTAAACTCTCATCTAGCAAGAACATAATTTTTAGATTATAAATACAAATGAATAAAAATTTAGTTTAAAAGATTTTTTATTGTGCACATAAATTAAAATTACTAAATATATGCTTCATTAAGATATTTTAGACAAATAATTTAAAATTTTGGAATAACCCTTCATCTAAATAAATATAAATTTCTGGATCACACCTTTCATCATCAAATAATGTTGGAATTTATTATTCGCCCATCATCGAAAAAGGATAAAATTCTGATTCCACGTCATTTTTGACAGGCTATCAGTTAGTATTATTAAAATAGAATATAAATTACCCTTTTTAAATCTAAAACTATAATATAAGAAAACTATGACAAAAATGATTGATATTTGTCAGATGCTTCCGTTAAGTCAGAACAGCGTTCACGTGGCAGAAAATTTGATAAAGGCCATTCTATAATATCTACTCCTACCCCCTTAAAAAAATTCCGCCGCGATATTCGCCAAACCACGATGCTATAATTATATTAATAAAAAAATCTTATAAGCTACCATTTATAATCTCAAAACAAAATTTTTTATATCCTTTCAGGCCTATTTAGGCTAGAAAAACAATAAAATTTCTAATTCTTGTTTATGATCAATCGATAATTGAAAAGCTGTTTGGGCCACTCCATTGGGATTGATCATTGAATGAGAAGAAAATATAATCTGGGAATCTTTAATAACTTTGGATGTTTGCTAATTATTAAATAAAGTAGTTAAAATTTGTTTACATATTGAAAAACTTATTTTTAATAATATTTAAAGTATTTTGCTAAAATTATGATTTATTATATTCTTACTGCAATTTATTATTAAATTTACATATATGTTAACCCCTATACTTTTAGAAAATTAACCAATAAAAATTTACGCGTGAAATTGTAGAATATTATGGTTAAAAAAAGTAATAAGTTGGCTTAAATTTAAAAAGAAAAAATTTATAGTTTTTTATTTTTGTTAATATCAATCGTTTTAATTATTGAATTTATAAAGCATATGATTCAAGTCAAAAACTACCCCCAAAAATTAATGCCTACCCTTTCAAAAAATATCAATTCCCCCCATGTTAATATAGTTTGGAGACATTTGTCTCCTACCCACCGCGGCCATGTAGACACTGAGTCAGGAAATCTAACTTGAGACATTTATATATAGTCAGGAGAGCAAAAATGAATTTTGATCCGAGGTATGAGGTGAAAAAAAAATTATGTCCAATATTTCTGTTTATTTACACTGAAATTCTGTAACTCATTACCAATTAATCACTCACATTATCTTAACACCAGAGTTCCCGTTAGTCGACATTGGGTGAAAGTGGGATGTGGATTTTTGGGGAGAAAAGAGAAGGAAACAGAAGAAATAAAAAAGAAAAAGATGAGAAGAATTCTAAATATAGTAAATGTTTATACTTTACGACTTGACGTTTATAGATTTTTGACACACTCGCATTTTAGCCACATTGGCCTCCGAATGTCAACATCGGTATTTATAAAAAATAAACCTTTTAAAATATTATGTCAGGAATATTTCTATAGTATTTTATATATTCCTTCTTTTCCAGGAATGTTAAAGGGAATGAAGCAAAAAGACCTAGCTCATGGCGATGCATCCATTTTATAATATCTAAGAAAAATTGCCATAATTCTCTGAATAAATATTTTCGCCTATATTTTTTATTTGCAATTTATGATCTAAAAAATATATTGCTATATGAGAGATTTGCATACCTTATCATACTTTGTCAATTTCAGAAAAAAATGAAAGAATAAAAAAAAAGCCTTAAAAATATTAATTTATATAAAATTGAAAGGGGCGATGAGAAAAGAAACATAATATATCAGAAACCTGTAGAAGTACCATTTACACGGCCCTAAAATAAAAAATTTATCGACCCAGCACAGGTATATTTTTAAGACCGGCCCAGCTCGGTTTGATTTTTTTCAAAAATTTATATTACATTTTTTAATTTCTATTGTTAATGGTGATTTAAAATATTTGGATTTAAAATCAGGGCTGGCTCGGGTATTTTAAAAAAATATTTTTAGACCCGACCCGGTTATATTTAAAAGAATCAGAATATGGGCCAGCCGTGCTTAGGGACGGACCTGCAGTCTCTGAAATATATTAAACAGACATATGTATTGCCCCACAAAACCTTCAGCAAGATTAAATTAATAAGTTATAAATCACAAATTTATTAAAATGAATTTAAAAATAATTTTATATTGTGCACATAAAGACATTTTTAGATATTATATATATTCACATCGGTGATCTGCAATATCAGGCTCAAGCCCTTATATCTGAGATTTTTATGGGTCAGGCTGGACGAAAAAATGAAGTGGCCAAATTTATTTTGTATATACATATTTGATGAATAAGATATAGTGTTTTTAATTTAACCACTCCTCAAGATCATAAATGGTTGTTTATTTAGGTTCAATATATATTTTGGTTTAGGCTTTGTATTTTAAAAAAAAATTAAAATTGGGCTAGACCAGACAACTTTAATAAAAACATTGAAACTAGCCCGGGTTTAGCAAAAATTTAGCTGGGTATACTAAATTCTCACTGAGCCGGGACTGATAATTTTGCCATTTGTGTTCAAATTATTTGTTCATATTGATGGTACTATAAAATACATCATTATAATATTCTATAAATATAATATTAAAACATATAAATAAGCTCTCATCAAAACAAAAGATTAATTTTTGATTCACACCTCATAAAAAAGGTTAATTTCTGATTCATCCATTATCATATAATAAAGGGGACATTTCTAATTAGTAATTACCCATCTTCATATTGAAATTAATTATTCCCCATCATTCTTGACCGGATATTATATAAATATAACTATTTATATATATATATATATAACTATAATAATAAGGCCACTCTATGAAAAGATGATGTTGAGCTGTCAGATGCTTCAAATAGGTTGAGAGCCCAGTCCTTATTTTTTATTGTCCATACTGGACAGCAATCTAATTTATAAGATAAAAAAAAATTCAAAATTATAATAATTCTGATTTTTTCCTCTGAAACTATCAATAAATACTTATATTAGAATTAAGTATATAAAGAATTAAGTATATAAAGAATTAAGTATATAAAGAATTTTTTTTGAGATATTATGAAATTTATATTAGAAATCTGCAAAGTTAGGCCCGGCCCGTACCCGGCCCGAAGCCCGTTCGGGCCGGACTCGGGCCTAATTCTATTTAAAATAATCGGGTTGGGACCGGGCCGGGCCTAATATTTTTAAAAAAAATTCGGGCCGGGTCGGACTTTGGAAATTTTATTAAATATATCTAAATTTATCAATTTTATATTGAATTTTTTATGTAAAATAAAAATTTTTGATTTAATTTATTGAAACTAAACGCTATATAACATATGTCTTTTATTTTAAGTAATTATAAAAATTAATTTCTATATTTAAATAAATTCGGGCCAGGCCGGGCCGGTAGATTTTTTTAAAATAAATTTCGAGTTCGGGCCGGCAAAACATTTTAAAAAAATTTCGGATTCGGGCCGGGCCGGCAAAACTTTTTTAAAAAAATATCGGGCCGGGCTTGAAAAATTAGGCCCGATGCAGATCACTAATTTATATCAAAAAGATTTACAATTATCTTCTAAATAAATTATGCTTATATTTGTGGAACCTTCAGAAAATGATTTAAAAAAATGTCTTTATAATGTGATAGCCCTTATATGTTGCTGATGGAGAATAAAGAATATATTTAGTAATAAGAAAATAAAGCATTATTGTATTAAAATAAAATGTTAGCAAATTATATATTTAGTACCTTCAACTATGCAGATGTTAGTAATGGATAAATCAGAAAGTTTATATTCAATGTAAGCTAAATGATTGGAATAAGTCCAATTTCCAAGTTCTGCCAATCGCAGAAAAAAATAGAAAGATTTCATAAAATACTTTTTGAACACCTAAAAGAGGATATCGCACAAATTTTATTATTTATTTTATTCAATATTAATTATTACAATAAGATAAATTTTGATTATAAAATTTTTAATTAAAATATACAAATTTATGTTAAAACAAATAAACATTTGTTTATATTAAAAAAAATCCAAAATTAAGAATAAAGATGAAATATGAAATATAGCAGCGAAAAACGAGAAGAATAAGTAAGGAAAAGTAAGTCTAGCAAAGTTCTTTGGAGAGAAGACTGCCATTAAAACTTCTATAATTCGGTTTAAGTATAGTTATGACCAGTCTATGTCTCAAAAAGAACCTTTCTAGGTGAGCTTGCAGATGTGCGATCCAAATTTTTTAAATGATAAAAGCTTACTAAAGGAAGTTAAGGTGTCGATATATTATAGGAAAAAATGTTTTTTAAAAAAGCTAAAAATAATATTTTTTAATCATTTAATTGTATTAAAAATAAAATATGCTTGGTTCAATTCACAACTTGAGTTTTAACAATAGATTTTCAATTTTGGCATTATTGCACACTTTATGTGTTCATAATAAAATATGTATCTTGGAGAACGTGGTGTATATATATATATCTAAATACATTTTAAAAGTATCTTTTAACAACTCTGATATATAATTACATTCTTTTTTTATATGCAAAACAAGCAACGAAATATCCGAAAAAACCAATAGTTAAAAATAATCCCAAAAAAATTTAACAGATATTTTTATTATTTATTTTTAATATCACATCTTATTTAGGGGTTTTATTCCTAAGATTTGTAAATTTTGGTTTAACACAAGACGTAAAGTAAAAAATAAATATGCGCGAGCAGATAGAGCCTTTTCATTCGGGGCTTTGTTAATCGGTAAATGACGGTAACAATGATTAATTGAGTGGCAAAACCGGAAAAGATTGTCTAGATATATATGGGGCTCGGCCTGCGCTATTGATAACTCTAAACTGGGTTGAAATGCCAGTATATCTTTGGCGATTCGATTAATGCAAACTGTTATTAGCGCTCCGTTATCATGAATATCCGTAGAGTAAAGGTCTTGCATTTTGAAATCAACATTTTTATAAGTAAGACAATTCTTGGAATGGTCCGTAATTAATTTATCTTTAACCAAATTTGTTTCCAAACTTAATTAAATAAAAAGCGGTAAATATAAAAAAATTGAAATTTAAAAAAAAACAATTTTGCAATTAACTTAAATTTTATTCATACCTTTCATACATAATAATAACACCTCCCTTCCTACCAAAATCCTATTAAAAATATTACATGTATACCAAAAAGAGGATATTTTGGAAATTTTATGTTTACACCCCCCCCCCCTCCTTCCTTTACTTAGATATTATAAAAAGTAACGGTATTCACAATTTTATACTTGTGCAATCTGGCATGGGTGTATTGTAAAAAGTTTCCGCTATCGCCTTTAAAATCTAAAGCTTTGTCCCAATCAAAGCGATAATTTTTACACCTTTTTTCTTTGAGGACATTAACTATGATGCTCGATACGCTTAAGGTTTCGGCGATATCATCCATGTCAATTTCTGATCTTGTGGCTTAAATCATTAATTTTTAAAAGTGCATATATAAATAGAGGTATTTGATGAAACGAATCATATTTTTCTTTAAATAATGCCATTATCTTTGATAAATTTGACTATATCAGTAGAAAATAAATATTTGCTTCTTTTTAAAAAAAATGGCTTAGAAAAACTTCTATGAAAAAAAAAATTAAGTAATTATAAAAGATTTATCAATAATAAATTAAAAAATAAAATATAAATTAAAAAATTTGGTACAAAGTAGTTTCAAAAAAATAAAAATCTTGTTAATAAATTTAACCTTATTTTTAAATTTTACCGATATCCAGAATATTTTAATTAAAATTAAAGATTCAATTTTTAATACTATTAGTGTTTTGTATCTTTTCTAACATCAGCTCTTTTCCAGTCTGAATAATATCTTTAACAAGAATGCTGTTGCCTTTCCTACTTTGCATTCCCGTGATTCGACCAAATTTCACATGCTCGAACCTAAGAAAATAAAATCGCTAAAAAAAACTTCAGATAAAATTGATTTAAATTTTTCAAAAATTTATAAATACTTGCAATTTCCAGTTTCAGGAAATTCCTTAAGAATCTCGAAGACCGATTTGAAATGCAAATGCTGTCCACTTTCAACCTATGGATGATTTATAAATAAATTTTAAAACAAAACTTATATATAATTACAATGTAAATAATCTTATCAGGTCGATATTGAGTTACTCTGTGAAGTGCAGCGGCAACATCTCTTAAAGAGAAAAAAAATACAATTACATTTAAATATATTTAAAAAATTAAAAGTTGAACAAATTTTTCACTAAAAAACAAAATTTTAAAATTATCGCAATATTATATCCAAAATACCTAGTGGAATATAGGGAAGAGCCATCCGACTTTTGCAACACAATTTCAGACCCATCTTTCAATCTATAAACCTTAGCATTATCCCTATTATTGTAATGATTAATTGATAAGGAATTGATATAAATATCAAAGACCTGCAGAAGTACTTTCTTTCTTATCTCCCGGTTTGTAAAAAAAAAAATAGGGCTGTGCCGATCCACATATTTTTCACCGATCCGATCCGATATTGCTTCAAAACCGATCAGATATTGATCCGATTACTGATTTTTAATCACCCCCGTTTGAACCAAATGTAATTAAGAAATCAATATTTTTTATGTAAAAAATCGAATTATGAATTTAATTTAATTTTTTTATTTCACAATTAAGACTATAATAAAAAAATATATATTTAATAATATATCCATTTTATGTTGGTTGTAATATTTAATATATAAAATTATAATATTAGATTTTTTTTAATAAATATGAGGGCCTCCAGATTTTCTAGGAATAAGCTTCTACGATATGGACTATCTATATCTCCTGCCGTACTAAAGGCAGACAGATGATTCCGCAGATAACGCATTTTGCAAAATTATCTTTGTCTTTTGTAAAATATTTCCATAATTCAGATACCATATTTAAAAAAATTCTTTTATTTAAAGTATAAATAAAAAAATTGGCGTTATTTAAAAAGATTTAAAATAAATAAAACTTTGGGTGTTCCTTTCTATTTTTAGAAAAAAAAACTTTTAAAATACTATAAATCTATTTTAAAAAAGAAATAAAATTTAAAAAAATTATTTAGAAAATATTATAATAATATAAAATAAATATACATAACATAAAATAAAATAATAAAAACAGAAAAGAAAAAAGAAAAAAGATCGGATCAGTTTTTTACAGGTATCGGCCCGATCCGATATTTAATATCGGCACAGCCCTAAAAAAATCATCGGGCTGGGTATTTTTCAAGAAAAATATTTTAGGCTCTTTATTTAAAAAATAAAGGATTAGGTATAAAAAATTTTATGACCCGGCCCGGGGTATAAAAAAAGTTTACGACACGGGTTTATGAAAAATTTCGGTTTGGGGTTTAAAAAAGTATGCCTGTTTGGCATTTAATGGTTCGTTTTTCAGCTAGTATGAAATTATTTAATATCTAATAACAAGGGTTGTGTATTTGACCAGTCAAATACGATTCGGTCAATTGACCGGTCATATGGTAAAAACAATATAAATTTTATTTTGTCTATAATAGTAAAATGAATCTATAATATTAATTTTATACTATTTCTAAAAATTCACATTCAATAACTAATGTTTCGCTCTCTGTGGCAGAGTTTTGTTTTGGTTCATATTCAATGTTATCATTTTCTTTAATATTTTTTAATCAATTTTCCCGTTGTCGAGCTTAAAACGATTTCTATTTTGGTAGGAATATTAATCCAAATAAACTCTTTCTGAAGAAGAACTAGGAATTGCTAGTAAAATGTCAGTGCTATTAATGGAAATGGTGAGCAAAGCCCATTCCACTAACTTGAGGCCGGAATCTGATTTTTTCTCTTGGAAGTCACTGATTTCCACATAATTTGTTATTAAACATGCAAGTTTTACTTCTGAAATTTATAATATCACTTGAAATATTTTGATCATCACCACCTTATAAAATGTCTAATTCTTATATTATATTACATACTTCATAATTCGCTACTAGTAAGATGCTCCCTCTTGATATTGATCACCCATTAAATAAGCAGCATTGTGATCACATGCATTTATGTCGTTTATTCCTTTTCCAAACATATTTTTAATATTTTTTTAGAATATTTGACCAGATCAAATACTCCTACGGTCAATTGATTGAATTTGACCCAATAACTTTTAAAACAATCTTCTCTATTCTAAATGATAAATGTAGTTTAATACCGAAAAAGGTAGTGAAATAACTAGATGTGTATAAAATTATTCCATTTTAATGCAATATGAACGAATTTATTGTTATTGGTAAACATTTATTACGAACATCTAAGATTGGGTTATATGATATATTATATTTAAAAAATGCATATTATATTGTGTAAAATAAAATAATAAGATAAAAAATTTTTTGTAAATTATAACAAATGCAACCAGTATTTCATTTAATGACAAAAATCGCGAAACTTATGTTCAAGATAAAAAAAAAATCTTTTACATATCGTGAAGATAGAGAAGCATATCAACCTTCTCAGGTTTAAGATTACTTCTTATCTCTTCAAGAAACCCACCAGTTGTGGAAAAATTCTACACATAGCATGAGCTGCCGGATGGCCATAACCCTTTTCGCCAGTTTTATCCAAACTGGGCTGTGATCAGAGTTGGGCAGGACCGCGAATACTTGTATCTAAAATACAAGATAAAGATCCTTTTGTATCTTGTACTCAGTATCTTATTGACATTTTTAATAAGATACTAGTATCTGTATCTAAGATCCTTTATTTTGAAAAGAATCTTGTATCTTTTTCATTTTCTTTAAAAAGATACAGATACAGATTCTTTTTAATATTAATGTTTAAAACATTTACATATCACACAATGAAACTTTCTTTTCTTCGTGAAATCTTGTATTATTTTCTTTATTTTTTCCTGCTATATTTTTAATATATTGATAACCAAAATTAGTTGGAAATTTTACAGATCACACAGATAGATAGATTAAAAATAACAACACCAAAACTAAATAAGTAAAGGTTATATTTTATATGTAATATTTTTTAATTTGTAGAATGTTTAACATTTATAGTAGTGAAGATGAAATTATGGAGATAGGTTCTCCTGAATCCAATCCGAATCTTAAAATTCTAGATGGAAAATTTTATAATGTAATTCATGTGAAAAAGGACAAGGTACAAGCCGAATGTCAAAATTGCACAAGTAAAAAAGTTATTAAAGGTTGAACAAACTCCTCTACAAACTTTGTTAAACATATTAAAGCAGGGTTGGCAAATTTTAAGTGATATAATTAATTTCAGAAGCAAAATCAGCATGTTTAATAGCAAATTATGTGGAAAACAGTAATTTCCATAAAAAACAATCAATTCCGACCTCAAGTTAATAGATAAAACTTTGCCATCATGCCCATTAAGAGACTGACAATTCCTAGTTCTTCTAAAGAAATAGGTCGATTTGTGTTAAAATTCTTTTGAAAATAGAAATCAAAAGATCTCGACATCAGGGAAATTGATTAAAAAATATTAAAGAAAATGATAATATTGAATATGAGTCAGAACAAGACTCTGCCACAGAGAGCTAAACGTTAGTTATTGAATGACAATGAATTTAAAAAATTAATATTATAGATTCATTTTATTATTATATTTAAAATAAAGTTAATATTGACTTAAAAAAACATATATTTGAATTTGACCGTATTTGACCTGTCAAATATCGGTCAATTGACCGAAACGTATTTCACCGGTCAAATGCACAACCCTGTATTAAATTATAGTATACATTTTTATTTTATAATTATTAACATAATAATACCTATAGTTAAGTCCCTTTTAGATAATTGTTATTAAAAACTTTTATAAAAGATGGTTGATTATCAAATTAAAATCATTTTGGATATAGTAAATTGATATCGGCCGATTACCGATCCGATATCATATCTAATTTGTATTCTGTTAAGAAACCAATGGTTTTAATTTTTAACATCATTTAACTATACCATAATTTATGTCATTTAAATATATTATAATGATCAGTTATAGTTTATATTAAATTCAATTGCAATTCTAAAAGTATATAAAATATTTTTATTGTTAAATCACTTTTATATAATAAGTAATAACATTAATCTATATACATATTAAGTAATACACAATTATATTATGAAATTTGAAATAAATATTTAAAATAATATTTAACATTAATTTAGCGAAGATTTATTTTTAGAAATACCAATATTTCCAATTTATCAGAGGTCAGCTTGCAGCGATAGTAACTGTCAATATCACCAGCTTCACTAAAAACAGATTTTGAAAAGATTATCGCACACTTTTATAAACAGAATGCGCAAAAAAATAACAATATGGTAGAATGTTTATTAATTAAATATTATTATTAAAAAAATTTACATAAAAATAAATTTCGATTTTATTTATAAAAATAAATGATTTTAGATATAACTATTTTTTTAAATTTTATAACATTTTATTGTTAAAGAAGCCATTTTTATATCGGATCAAATTTTATAATATTGACCGATAATTGATATTTTAAAATAGGTGAAATATTGGCCCGATCCGATTTGATAAAAAATATCGGCACATCCCTAATATATTTTATATTTAATTATTTTAACAAGTTCTTATTAGAGGAAATATAAGCTACAATTGATATATAATATTAGATAATTTTAAAAGGCTCTTAATAAAATAATTATAAAATAAGGTAGAATTTAACTTTATTAGTTACTTTTATTTATTTATGATATAAGTAAAATTATATTACAATATTAATCAACAAAATTTAATCAATTTAAAATGTATTAAAGAAAATTGTTATGTATTTAATAATTAAATAATATAATGTTGTACATTATTTTCATATTTTTTATATATAATTAATGATTTTGCAAGAAATATATTAAAAATATTTGAAAAGAGATTTAAGTGATATTTATATATATGATATTACAAATGCAAGAATTGATAAATCATACTAGAAAATAAAACTAATTTAAAAAATACATAAATATCACAAACAAGTAATGATAAATACTTATTAAAGATAATGAATAAAAAAAAACTAGTATTATTTTTTTTAGAGATGCCATTTAGCCATATACTCCGAAGATAAGTATATTTAAAACACAGAAAATAACCTGCAAATTCTAATAAATCATTTGATTTAATTTTTTTTCTTATTTGCACATTTTCAACTCCCATTAAATATACTACTCTCCCTTCCCTATCCTATTAATGGACAAAAATTAATATTAAAATCCCTGGTTATTATAATTAATTCATCAATAAATATTTTATTAATTATTGCAAATATTCATTCTTATATGTGTATGCTATGTTCTTCACAAATATATAATAAAAACTGTATTTTATGAACTATTCTAATTTAATTGGTAATTATAATTTAAATTGTATTTAAGATACTCTAATTTAGTAAAAGATACAATTATCTTTTATCTTTTTGATATTTTGAAAAAGATACTAGTATCTGTATCTAAGATTCCTTTTTTTATAAAGAATCTGTATCTGTATCTAGATTCTTTTTTTAGAGGACCTGCCCAACTCTAGCTGTGATGACCCGACCACCACTCTAAAGGTCATCAACCTTAAAATGTTTCTTCTAGTTTTATAGTTAAATATTTGTTATATTCATCATCTGGTAATAATATATTTTCGGAATTACCATCGTCCCATTTGTCGGTCGTAAAAGGAGTGAGTTTAATTCATCACACTATCTATACGACTCGTCAATCTATTTTACTTATTTTAGGTTCCTCTTAAAATTTGATATAATTTCTTACATTTGAGATGTTTCTGGCAACATGGGTAATTGTCTGAGTTTAGGTAAGAGAAAAGATAGATTTTATTTGATATTTATAATAGTAGAGATTTAAAATATTCGACCCAGCCCGGATTTTATAAGTTTTGGAGCGCCGGATGTATAGAAATATTTATTTTGGCCCAGCTTAGGATTTTTTTAAAAAATAATTATTACTAAGTTATAATTTACTTTAATTATGCTTTATTTTAAGAAGAAACTAATCTCAAATCATCGAAAGAAAAACTAAATTAAATCATCTAAATATAATTGTAGTCTTGATTCGTTATTTGTTCATATATATCCAAAAACCAATCTATATTAATATAAAATGTTGCTTAGTACTCATAAAATAACAAAATCCAAAGTATCAAATTACTTTATAAAATCAATCAATATAAAAATGTTAATAAGAAATAATAACTCAATTTAAATTTGCTATTTAAATAAATTTTTGTTTTAATTTGATTATCTCAAATTTTTACCACCCAGCCCTAGGCCCAGTTTTAGTCCAAGACTGCAGGTCTGATAAATATATATATATATATAATTGAAATAAAACTTGTGAATAATGTTCCCTAATTTGTCTAAGCAGTCAATGATCTGCGATGCTTCACGATAAAATTGAGATTCAAATTCGTAGAAATCGAATTTTACTCCTAGTTTCTTTGTAATTTTATAAAATAGTAATTTAACAAAATATTAATGAATATATTGTAATCTGTCCATCTTTATAAACCCAAAAATTCTAGCAATGAAAATGATTTTGAGCAAAAATTTTCCCTCCAGTTGCAGTATTAAAAAGCGCCTTTTGCGTAAAGGGCTTGATGTCTAATCCGAATGGTTAAACCCATTTTTATGATGATAACCAAAAAAACCCCTTTTTAATTTATCCTTTCAAAAAAATACAGCATACATAATTTCTTTCTATTCAATGGCTCCTAGATTTTATCTTTTCATTAGAAATAAGTATAAGATTTGCATTCGCAAAAAATATAGTGTACCTTTTTAAATTTTGCGCCAATTAAAAATGTCTTTTTTTGGTTCAATAAACGATTTTCATCAGTATTTTGTATATTATAGGTACTTTTTTTAAAAATTAAGGTAAGATATAAAATTCCCAAGTTGTTGTTCTAGCATTTGTGACATGCGTATTTTTAATAACTTATATTTATATTCTCTCCTTATAGTCTAAATTGACTTCATCAAGATTGCCTTAAAAAAAGAATTTTTAGAGCTAGGGAAATTCGTTTGCGCCAGATCAAAAGAACAAAAAAAAAGATTTACTACCTAAAATAATGATTAAGCTTAGATAACAACAGGATAACTTCCCTATTTCTTGGCTCGCTGGAGGAAGCTAATGATGACGATATTAAAATTAAAAGCTCATTTATATATGAGTGAATTTAGATAAGGACAATTTAGTCATGTTAAGCAAAGTTTGCAGTCAAAAACCTAAGGTATGGCTCAACTTTGAAAAAAGATTTAAAAAAAATTACAACAGCACCTCATAGTTTAGTGGATTTATTTCAGCATAAACAAGATTGAGATGAAGGTGGAATTTGTGAATCATATACCTTACCTTATCTTTTTTTATTTATACATTTTACAATTATATGGAGAGTATACTTTTTAGGTGTTTTTTTAATCCCATATTTACTAAGTCCATGAGTGTTGGAGTAAAGCAATGTGATTTTTAACTCTACCATCAATTGTTTTTTTTTAAAATAACCACCCCTCCCACCTATAATTTAAAAAAAATTAACTATAAGCCGCCCATTTCTTTAAAAATTATGTTCCAAAGAACCCAAATATTAAGATTGGTTGCTTGGCCCTTTATATTTTTTTTAAATATACTTTCACTTAAACTTATGAAAAAAAAATTTTTTTAATATAAGCCCGTTTACTTATTTTGCCCGAAATATATTTTAAATTTATCTACAAACCTGGTGGTCAAAAAATATTCCTAATCCACCTTCTAGCTCAATGTTTAAACTTTTTAACATGCTCATTGCATCTAAAGAGAACTATCAGACATTTTTAAAAAATTGAATAAGATAAGAATTTGATATGCCTAAACTTAATAAAATTATTTACATAAATATTTATTTAATTTTTTTAGTATTCCCAATGTTTTTTTATACTTATTATATCTTATTTATATTAAAAGAAAACATTAATCATTTTTTTTAATTTAATGAATGATGCAATTCAAGTCATCAGGGCTGGGAAAAAAATTACAAATATCATTATATTAATTCTCTTGTAATCTTTCATTTTGAAATTGTGATAAAAAGCCTTTGTAACCATTATATTGGCTAAGGTAACATTTGTTTTGTTACTTTAAAAATAAAGGATTTTTTAAGATTTTTTAAAATAAAAATAATCTTTTAAATAAAATTTAATGATGTAAAATAACTTGCAAAATAACTTGCAAAATAACAAGGTTACTTTTTTAGATAAAAGGAATGCCATTTGTTACTTTTGACGAGTAACAGTAAGGCATGACTTTAAATATAGAAAAATATTTTTTGTTATATATTTATTTAAATAATTTAGACCGAATTTTTAATTCACATCAACCACTCAAAATCCGCTTATTTAATCAAAATTTAATAAGAGTAAGACCCATTTTTAATATATATATTAAAAGATAGAATCATGTAGTCAGAAAAAAAACTAATCTTTATTAGATTTAAACCCAGATCTATGCAATAAGTGACGCTTTTAAAATATAATTTTTTTATATATTTACAAGCATATGTAGTATTGGCAATCCTAACCAAAAAAATATTATGCTGATTTGTAGATTGGCAACATCTAAAATAAGACTAAAAGTCCGTTATCATAATTTTATTGAATATAATTTTTATTGAATTTTATAAACACAAGAAAGCTGTGTTTAGTAATAATAAAATTTTGAAAATCAATTGCAAATAATTAATTATTACAAATAATATTTATATTATAATATATTATTTTTGTATAATTTTATTTTCACTATCTATGGATAAAAATTTTTTATAAATAATATGGTAATGAGTAATACATTATTTTTTTAAATAAAGGGTAATGTGTTTCTTTTTTTGCAATATAAGGAATGATGGTAATATATTACTTCCATTTAAGGTAATGAAAAACTAATAAAAATGTATTAAATATTTAAGATAAACCTGATTGTATTAGTTAACTGATAACAATGAAACATAGAAAGAATGAATAGGATTTTCCCATTTTCTTTCTTTGTGGGGGATTTAGTGATCATTTTCTATTTTCCTGCAAACACTGAAAATATAATTATTTCCTCAGAAGACAATGAATTTTATGATTGTTATATATTTGGCAATTAAAACATTATCAATTTAACTTTCACTTTTATTACATATAATTTATTTCTAAGTTAGTCCCCAATATTTCATCAGTAAAAATGATATTTTTCCCCACAATTGGAGTTTAGAAAAAGTTCTAGTGATGTTGAAATTTAAATCTGGCATTTAATTCATCCATCATAGCTCAATACATGATATAAATATCAAATCATCAAAAATATATTTATTTGCTACAATACAAATTTACTTTCTACCAGGGTGTTTATTTTAGTTCGTAAATTTAATTAATAGACCAAACATGAGATGATTAAATAATGAAAATTAATCCTTTTATAAAAAAAGTTTTCATTTATTGCATTTTTCAATTTTTATTTTTAATTATATCACAAATACTTTTATGACTGTCATATATTTTAAATAATGGTAATGTCACCATTAACCTTTTTTTGAGGATATTTTTCAGGGACCTGCAAAGGTACCATTTGCAAAGCTCGGCCCAGTTTTTTTTTCAAAAATTTACGTCCTGATTTGGGTTTTATATTTTAAGGCCCAGCCCAGCTTTTTTTTAAAACAAATTCCAGGCCCAGCCCAGGTTGGTTATATTTTAAAAAATTAAAATACAGTGCTGGACCTTAGATCCGGGCCTGCATGTCTCTGAAATTTTTCATTTGAAATGGTAGCCACTAATTTTTCAAATAACATGCCCTACCCTGTAAGTACTGATAAGTCATTTCTTCAGATTATAAAATATATTATTTAACACAGAGATGATATTATGTGCTAACCTTATAAATATTCCTATATTCTTCCAAACTAATTTGAGTGATAATGTTTTTAAAATTATTCAAATCATCATTGCCTATTATATATGTTTAAACATATAAAAGAATATTTAAAACCAATTTCCATTTTACAAATTAAGTTTTGAGCAATATTTTTGATATTGTTATCAGATTCCATACATTTATTTATATATACATATGCCTTTAAAAAAATAATACAGATTATTGATATAAATAAACTTGCGATAAATCATTTATAGATATATATTTTAGATTTTTAAGATCTTTTTGAGCCTTCAATCCCAGAATTAATAGGGCTTTATAAAAAATTTATTTTAATCTAATAACCAATAAATATAAACCTATTTGAAATCCCCAATCTCCTAAATAATTTACCCTTGTCAAATTATAACCAAGCTTGTCATATCCATTTGCTAAAAAATTGCCTATTAGGGTTGATCTTAGGTGGCCAGCATGAAGTAATTTTGCAATATTCGGAGAACTGTTTAACATTGTAATAACATTTAAATTTATAGGTATATACCTATATTCAATTAATACTTTTTGATTAGTTGATTTTTGATATATATTTCCATTATTATGATTAATATTGTAAAATAGTTGCTTAAAATATTAAATATATTTAGAAAAGTATTAAATCTTTAAAGTATTAATAAAATATATAGCATTTATAAAACAAGGGCAATTTTATTTTACTTTTGTCAATTGGTTTATATTTTTATCTGGTGATGCTAATATATCAAATCTTTTAATATTATTTTCCTATAAATAAGTCAAAAACTATGTTAATCCTTTAAGAACCTTTATTGGGAAATATTTTTTTAAAAAATTTATTTTCATATAATAATTTTGAACAGCAGGGATTAAATATAATAATAATGTAAATCGGCAAAATTTAAAATTCTGACCGATCTAAATATCGTAAGCTATAGCTAAAATCATAAACTGACATCCTGTCACTTATCATATTTGACAGAATATATATCATAAGCTACGAATGGTTGAAAGCAATCCCCAGTTCCAATCTTCACCTCTTCGTGACGGGCAAACAGCTACGTATATCCATATCACTTCGCCTTGAATGTAATGCTGTAGTTCCCTCCATTTGCATCGATTGTGGCCACCCATTGAATCGAAAGCTCACCATCCCTTTCACTGCAAGTTCTCCCATGGACGTCAGCCTTGTCATAAATCTATCAACAAAATTTTTTCAGCTACCCTTAAAAAAATAAATATTCCATCCACCCACTAACCAATGGGCCTCTCAAATGAAAACCCCCCCTATGGTATACCCCTCATTCTCTGGACTAATGGTCTCCCGCTTATTTGGAACGATACTTTTGTCGATTTATAGCTAAGTCCAACTTTTCATTTTCTACCATTGAAAAGTCATAAATCTTTTAAAAAATATGCTGGCCTCACCAGCACTGTGTTCATACCAATCGTTACCAATACCCTACGGAAGTGTAGCCCTCAATTTCATAAAAAAACACAGGAAAAAAAAGTCAGATCCCAGGGGACCCCAATGAAGGATTTTACCTTTGTCAACAAATTTGGTTCCATGTCAATTCAGCGAAACTTTTATCGCGAAACACTTTTTCGCGAAACTTTTATCGCGAATGTCGTTTATCGCGAATGGATTTTATAGCGAAACTTTTATCGCGAATCCATAATAGCGAATACTATTCCGCAAATGCAATATCGCGAAACAAATATCGCGAATTTTTTATAGCGAAACCTTTATCGCGAAACCTTTATCGCGAAACCTTTATCGCGAAACCTTTATCGCGAAACCTTTATCGCGAAACCTTTATCGCGAAACCTTTATCGCGAAACCTTTATCGCGAAACCTTTATCGCGAAACCTTTATAGCGAATACATTACCGCGAATACAATATAGCGAAACAAATATCGCGAATTTTTTATAGCGAAACTTTTATCGCGAAACCTTTAATGCGAATACATTACCGCGAAACTTTTATCGCGAATCAATAATCGCGAAAATTTTATAGCGAAACTTTTATCGCGAAACATTTTAAGCGAATACATTACCGCGAAACTTTTATCGCGAATCAATAATCACGAAAATTTTATAGCGAAACCTTTATCGCGAAACCTTTAAAGCGAATACATTACCGCGAAACTTTAATCGCGAAAATTTTATAGCGAAATTATTATCGCGAAACCCAAATCGCGAAGACAATGTAGCGACAATTATTTCGCGAAACATATATCGCGAAGATATTATCGAGAATTTAATATCGCGGTAATTGCTAATAATGACTAATTTATTTTGAATCATTTTTTTATAATTATATTATTTGAATAATATTTTTTTGATTCACATAGTTTGTAATTTTCTTATAACCTTAAAAAATTTTTACAATGATTAATTAACTTAGACTGGTTTATGAAATTTGTTATTGAAATACACTTTTTTCGCTATCCTATCCTTTCCTTCGAAGTTCTTATTTTATAATAATCGCGCACAAGGAACTCAGTTTTATCAATATATTAATCATTGAGTTTATTAGTTAAATCTTGATATTTATTGGCGAAATTGATATCTGGGTAGCATTCCTATTTATTGTCTGATGACTTAATATTTATAAATTTATCAATCAATTTTGGCCAGGGTTAGCAAGTCAGTCAAATGACCAGTCAAATGACTAGATTTTGGCGGGTCAATTGAACGGGAGAATATTTGACCTGGTCAAGTGGTCATATATTCTATAAGATCTGAATATAAAAATATGTTTGAAAAAGAAAAAACGATATAAATACATGTGAAATGTGATCACAATGCTTATTGAGTTCCTAATATTAAGGAGAGAATTTTAATCATAGTGAATTTAATGAAGTATGTAATATAATAAAAGAATTAGGCATACAAGGTGGTGATCAAAATATTTCAAGCTATATCATAAATTTCAGAAATAAAAGCGGCTTGTTTAATAGAAAATCATGGGGATAGCAGTAACTTCCATAAGAAACAATCAGATTTCAAACTCAAGCAGTGGAATTAGTTTTGACCACCATGGCCATTAAGAGAAGTGACATTACTAACAATTTCTAGATCTACTTCTTCTTCAGAAAGAAATTGGTCGATTTGTGTCAATAATCTTACTAAAACAGAAATCGATTGAAGATTTAGACAAAAAGAGAATTGATTAAAAAATATTAAAGAAAATGATGATATTCAATATAAAATAATATTTATTTGATTTTAACTATATTTGATCGGTCAAATGCACAACCGTGGTTTTGGCAGTCACTATTCTTAAACAGTGTAGATGAATAAAGTCTACAACATTACTGTTTAGAATATCAATTTTGAATGGCAATTCAAAAATAAATTACATCTAAGTGAAATAAGGGATTTCCCCAATTTAAAATATTTATTAATTTTATTATTTTCAATCTTTATAGATATCTTTTTATCTTTTCTGTTTATTTAAAGGGGGGGGGGGGGGGCGTGATAAAATTTTTAGTATAATAACTCGGCATTAATTTCAATTAATTTAAATATAATATTTTGATATGGGTTCTTATTGAATCTTAAATAATTTTAAAATATAATAAAAAAAATAGCTACACTAAAAATTAACAAATAATTAATGACATATTTGATAAATTATAACTATTTAAAAAAAAAAGTATTGCCGAAATTTAAAAAAAAAAAATTTTCCCGTCTGGCTGGTGCCATTCCTTTGGTTATAAATTATAAATATTTTCGCCATTCTTTCCTCTTTATTTCGGAGTCTTATAAAATATGTTATCAAGCAAAAATAAGGAGATCTTAACCTTTAAAAATTATTTGTTCCGCCTGGATAAAGTAGTCTCAGATACTAATTATTATAGATGTATCAATCAGGATATTTTTAAATGTCCCGTACGACTCACAAAAAAAAATGGTAAGATAAAAGATAATAATGAAATACACAATAATCCAGAAAATCCAATCGAAATGGAAACCAAGAAAATAATCAATTCAATTAAGAATGAAGCTTTGAATAATACTATGGAAACTCTAAACTTTATTGTGGCGAAACACGTATCTCAATTAAGTGATTCTATATCAATGGCACTACCATCACCGAATCTTATACGTATAATTCACCGAACGCAGAGTTCAAACAGTTTTGCACCTCCGAATCCTACCAGCCTTATTGAGCTGGTAATCCCGCATGAATATTCAATTACAGATAAATATGAGGATTTCATACTTCATGATGATGGTCCGGTAAGATTTTCTATAAATTCTTCCCGATAAGAAACACTTTATTATAATTGCTTATTTATTTATCATGTGTGTCAGGTTCCCGACCGTGTTATCATATTTGGAACAAGAAAAAATTTGGACTTCTTAGCTTCATGCGAACATTGGTTTTCTGATGGTACATTTAAATCGTCGCCACCTTTATTTATGCAAATTTATACAATTCATGGGATTAGAAATAATAATGTTTTACCTCTCATATATATATTAACCAATAGAAAGGATTATGAAACTTATAAAAGAATATTTACTATTATAGGTGACAACTTAATATCAACTCCAAAAAAAATTATGACTGATTTTGAAATGGCCAGTGTAAAAGCTTTCAATGAAGTGTTTCCCAATTCGCAACACAAATGGCGAAACATTCAAAAATATCCAGAAATATCGCATAAATATAAAACGAATTTAATATACAACTTAGAATGATGGTTTGTTTGGCGTTTGTGCCACCCTTAAATGTAGTTGAAACATTTGAATTACTAATAAACTCCGAATTTTATTCTAATAATCAATTGTTACTTCAGCCTCTAATTGAAACTTTTGAAAAAGCTTATATTGGTAAAACGTTTGGAAGAGGCAGACTACCTGCTTTGTTTAATATTGAACTCTGGAATTGTTACCAATCAACACTGAACGGGGAAGCGAAAACCAACAACGCGGTTGAAGGGTGGCATAGATGCTTCAGTTCCCTCCTAACAAGTTACCATCCAAACATGTGAAAATTTATAACAAGTTATCTATATATCTATTATTTTAAAATGATTTAAAGTATAAAGATTTACTAATAAACTATATAATTTTTCCTAGGCTTAAAAAAACAACAAGGGTTGACAGAGTTAAAAATTGCTCAATATAATTCTGGTGAAACACCCTCTACCCCGAGAAAAAAATATCGAAATCTACATGCGAGAATAGTAACTATTGTTTCTAACTTCGAAAATCGATCAAGATTAGATTATCTTAAAGGAATCGCTATTAATATAACATTGAATGTTTAATTTTTTAAATTTTTATCTACAATAATAAAAATTTTGTTTGTTTTTATATAATAGTCTCAAAATTTTTATATTTTCATTATTTTTTTGTGACAAAAATATAGGATACTTTGGTATAAAATTTAGCTGGTTACATAAGACTCATTCATCAAGATATAGATTTTATGAGGGTATTTACAAATTCTTTTATATGTGTGTGACACATTCTTTATCTACCACATCAATCCCACGATTAATATTTCAAAAATAACTACCTTTCGTCATGCATTATAAAATTATTTTAAAATTCATATTCCTAGCCCTTGAGTCATATAGTTGTTTCCCCTTACAAATATGATTATTTTTGATGAGCAACATTATTAGAAAAGTACTATTAAAATAATACTCAAGTATTACACTAAAGGGCAAAGTTTAAAACGAGGATTACATTTTCCTTTTATTTATTAAAGCATATAAATTTATATCGGGGTGTTTTTGTCAGATTTTTTTCCCATGGTTATTTTTAACCAGTCTTTGTTCAAATCAGTGATTCTTTTAAAAATTTACACTTCAGTTATATGTTTAACAAACAAACCTATTGGTTTAGACGATATGTTATGACAATGCTCTACTTTTTCCTTCACATATTCAATAA